TATGAAAGTGTTCTTAAATTATTTTTACACGGTCTAGATCACCATTAATTCTTCTCCGCTTTCTATGGTCATCAGCCGTCCGTAGAAAAGCTTTTGTGATTGGGTTCTGGGGCTTGGCGTTGCTAGTCTCACGTGACCCGTTGCAAATAGAGACTCTGGGGCGGAAAGTTAGTTTGCAAGAAAGAAAGTTCAATGGAGATCAGTTCACGCGAAGTCAGTTCGAGGGAAATTAGTACACGGTAAGTCAGTTCATAAGAGAGTCAGTTCAAATGAAGTCAGTTTGCACGCGTAATCATTTCACTAGAAAGTCAGCTCAGATTGAAGTCAGTTCACAAGAAAGTCAATTCAAATGAAGTCAGGTCACGCGAAATCATCTCAGTAGAAAGTCAACTCAGATGAAGTCAGTTCACAAAAAGTCGATTCAAATGAAGTCTGTTCACAAGAAAGTCAGTCCACACAGTCGTCAGCTCAAATGAAGTCAGTCCACACAGTCAGTCCACACAGTCAGTCCACACAGTCGTCAGTCCACACAGTCAGTCCACACAGTCAGTCCACACAGTCGTCAGTCCACACAGTCAGTCCACACAGTCAGTCACACAGTCAGTTCACACAGTCAGTTCACACAGTCAGTCCACACAGTCGTCAGTCCACACAGTCAGTCCACACAGTCGTCAGTTCACACAGTCAGTTCACACAGTCATTTCACACAGTCAGTTCACACACACAGTTCACGCAATGTCAGTTCACACGAAATCCTTTAACAGAAATCGCCGTAGCAGACGAAGGAGAAAAGATCGGTGCGTTTCAATTCGCGCCGAGTCACGTCAAGTCAAGTCACGTCTTGTAACGCTAGCGAGTAACAAGGTTGAGTTACTACTTTTGTCTTTTTATTTTGTGAGTAAACATCAGCTGGCTTGAGTGAGTGAGTGAGTGAAATCATGTTATTTAAAAGAAAAATTAATAACGAGGGGGGGGGGGCAGGAAAACATGCCTCGAAATCTCTTGGGTTTTTATTCGACCAAAAAAGAAGAAGAAGAAGGAAAGAAAAATACAAATAAGTCATTTGCGGAATGACATGATGCGAAAATCAAAAGAGAGAGAGAGAGAGAGAGAAGAGAACGAGAGAGAGAGAGAGAGAGAGAGAGAGAGAGAGAGAGAGAGAGAGAGAGAGAGAGAGAGAGAGAGAGAGAGAGAGAGAAGAGAGAGAGAGAAGAGAAGGGAGCGAGAAGAGAAGAGGGCGAGAGAGAAGAAAAGAGAGAAAGAGAGAGAGACAAAAAAAAATAAAAAAACAAAATAAAATAAGACATTTAAGGAATGATGTGATGCGAAAATTCAAAAAAGAAAAAAAGAAAAAAAAAAAAAGCCGAAATGAGCCTAGAAACGTTTTGGTTCTGCAGTTTACAGTAGCACGTGGTATGGTCAGGTACGAGGAATTTACCGCAAATAACGGTTAATTTCAGCTACGGGCACAAGACAACGCTCATTTTAAGAAAGTCGCTTTGATGACTTTGAATGACTGTTTTCTTTGCCTGTTTTGCTTTGTTTTTGTTTTTTGTTTTTCTCTTCTGTTGTCATCGAACATTAGTGAGGCAATTTAGATTTTAAAATAAACGCTCTCTTATAAAGACATCACAAATTACACGTGTAATAATAGTCCACCCCCCAAAAAAAAGAAAACAAGAAAAGAAAATGGACAAAAAAAAACAAACAAACAAACAACAGAACACATCTCAAGGAAGACTGATGAACTGAACATCCAAATTTCACATCGTTGCGTTCAAGCGGGTAAACAAACGCAATGGCAAGAGAGACGAAGTATTGTGGAACGGACGAAGAGAGACTTCGTTCACGGATTCCGTTTGGCGGTCAATGCCTCACTCAGTCTGTGTGTGCCGGAAGGGTAGGAGAGAGGGGGGGGGGAGAGAGAGAGAGAGAGAGAGAGAGAGAGAGAGAGAGAGAGAGACGGGGAGGGGAGAGAGAAAGGAGAGTGAGAGAGAGAGAGAGAGAGAGAGAGACGGGGAGGGGAGAGAGAAAGGGGAGTGAGAAGGAGAGAGGGGAGGGGGAGAGAGAGATAGAGAGAGACGGGGAGGGGAGAGAGAAAGGAGAGTGATAGAGAGAGAGAGAGGGGGGGGGGGGGGAGGGGGGGGGAGAGAGAGATAGAGAGAGACGGAGAAGGGAGAGAGAAAGGAGAGTGAGAGGGAAAGAGAGAGAGAGGGAGGGATGGAGGGAGGGAGAGAGAGAAAGAGGAGAGAGAGGGAGGTAGAGAGAGGGGCGGAAGAGAGTAAAAGAAAGAGAGAGGGCCGGAGAGGGAGAGAGAAAGAGAGAGAGAGAGAGTGAGATGGAGGGAGGGAGGGAGAGAGAAAGAGAGGGGGGGGAAAGGGAAAGTGAGAGAGAGATAGAGGTGGAAGAGGGAGAGGGAAAGAGAGATGGAGAGATAGAGAGAGGACGAACGCCCGAGTAAGTGAGTGAGTGAGAGAAAGAGAAAGAGAGATAAATTCACTACTACGAAAAATGGGTGAAAATCGCGAGAGATAATGACTTATTTGTTTGTTTGTGTTTCACTCTAAAAGCACCTGAGACGGAAGAGAAAGATGAGAGAGAAAAAAAAAAAAAAAAAAAAGAGAAACAGACAATGGAAGGAAGAAGAAATTTGAGACAAAAATGCATCTTCCCCTCCCCCCCATCCCCCCACTCTCTCTCTCTCTTTCTTCATCTCTTCCTCTCATTCTTCATTTTCCTCTCTTCCTCTACACGCTCCTTCCCTCTCCCGTTAGCGATGTTAC